TGGGAATTCCCGAGCCAATTCCTCCAATTTCCCTGGAATTTTGGGAATTCCCGAGCCAATTCCTCCAATTTCCCTGGAATTTTGGGAATTCCTGAGCCAATTCCACAAATTAACCTGGAATTTTGGGAATTCCTGATCTAATTCCTCCAATTTCCCTGGAATTTTGGGAATTCCCGAGCCAATTCCCGGTTTTCCGGCAGGTGGCCGTGGTGGCCGTGATGTGCAAACCCCACCGCTGCCCCCACATCAACTTCACCGGCAACATCTGCGTGTGAGTAGGGATTAAATTCCATTTTCTAGGTCAAAATTCAGTTTATTCCTTCCCCCAAAATCCCCAAAAATTCAATTTATTCCTTCCTCTAAAATCCCCAAAAATTCAATTTATTCCTGCCATGAAAATCCCCAAAAATTCGATTTATTCCTTCCATTAAAATCCCCAAAAATTCAATTTATTCCTTCCACTATAATCCCAAAAAATTCAATTTATTCCTTCCATTAAAATCCCCAAAAATTCAATTTATTCCTTCCATTAAAATCCCCCAAAATTCAATTTATTCTTTTCATTAAAATCCCCAAAAATTCAATTTATTCCTTCCTCCAAAATCCCCAAAATTCAATTTATTCCTTCCATTAAATACCCCAAATATATCAATTTATTCCTTCCCCTAAAATCCCCAAAATTCCATTTATTCCTTTCATTATAATCCCAAAAAATTCAAATTATTCCTTCCAATAAAATCCCCAAAAATTCAAATTATTCCTTCCATTAAAAACCCCAAAAATTCAATTTATTCCTTACCCTAAAATCCCCAAATAATGTAATTTATTCCTTCCATGAAAATCCCCAAAAATTCAATTTATTCCTTCCACTAAAATCCCCAAAAATTCAATTTATTCCTTCCATTAAAATCACCAAAAATTCAATTTAATCCTTCCATTAAAATCCCCAAAAATTCAATTTATTCCTTCCTCCAAAATACCCCAAAATTCAATTTATTCCTTCCATTAAAATCCCCAAAAATTCAAATTATTCCTTCCTTTAAAATCCCCAAAAATTCAATTTATTCCTTTCACTAAAATCCCCCAAAATTCAATTTATTCCTTCCATTAAAATCCCCCAAAAATTCAATTAATTCCTTCCCCTAAAATCCCCAAAAATTCAATTTATTCCTTCCATTAAAATCCCCCAAAAATTCAATTAATTCCTTCCACTAAAATCCCCAAAAATTCAATTTATTCCTTTCATTTTTATCCCAAAAAATTCAAATTATTCCTTCCATTAAAATCACCAAAAATTTAATTTATTTCTTCCTTTAAAATCCCCAAAAATTCAATTTAATCCTTCCATTAAAATCCCCAAAAATTCAATTTATTCCTTCCCCTAAAATCCCCCAAAAATTCAATTAATTCCTTCCACTAAAATCCCCAAAAATTCAATTTAATCCTTCCTCCAAAATCCCCAAAAATTCAATTTATTCCTTCCAATAAAATCCCCAAAAATTCAATTTATTCCTTCCCTTAAAATCCCCAAAAATTCAATTTATTCCTTCCCTTAAAATCCCCCAAAATTCAATTTATTCCTTCCATTAAAATCCCCAAAAATTGAATTTATTCCTTTCACTAAAATCACCCAAAATTCAGTTTATTCCTTCCATTAAAATCCCCAAAAATTCAATTTATTCCTTCCACTAAAATCCCCAAAAATTAAATTTATTCCTTTCACTAAAATCCCCAAAAATTTAATTTATTCCTTCCTTTAAAATCCCCAAAAATTCAATTTATTCCTTCCCCTAAAATCCCCAAAAATTCAATTTATTCCTTTCACTAAAATCCCCAAAATTCAATTTATTCCTTCCATTAAAATCCCCAAATAATTTAATCTATACCTTCCATTAAAAACCCCAAAAAATCAATTTATTCCTTCCACTAAAATCCCCAAAAATTCAATTTATTCCTTCCATTAAAATCCCCAAATAATTCAATTTATTCCTTCCATTAAATCCCCAAAAATTCAATTTATTCCTTCCACTGAAATCCCCAAAAATTCAATTTATTCCTTTCACTAAATACCCCAAATATTTCAATTTATTCCTTCCTTTAAAATCCCAAATAATTCAATTTATTCCTTCCTTTAAAATCCCCAAAAATTCAATTTATTCCTTCCATTAAAATACCCCAAAAATTCAATTTATTCCTTCCCCTAAAATCCCCAAAAAATTCAATTTATTCCTTCCACTAAAATCCCCAAATAATTCAATTTATTCCTTCCACTAAAATCCCGAAATAATGTAATTTATTCCTTTCATTAAAATCCCCAAAAATTCAATTTATTCCTTTCACTAAAATCCCCAAAAATTCAATTTATTCCTTCCTTTAAAATCCCCAAAAATTCAATTTAATCCTTCCATGAAAATCCCCAAAAATTCAATTTATTCCTTCCATTAAAATCCCCAAAAATTGAATTTATTCCTTCCCCTAAAATCCCCCAAAATTCAATTTATTCCTTCCATTAAAATCCCCAAAAATTCAATTTATTCCTTCCATTAAAAACCCCAAAAATTCAATTTATTCCTTTCACTATAATCCCCAAAATATCAATTTATTCCTTTCACTAAAATCCCCAAAAATTCAATTTAATCCTTCCATTAAAATCCCCAAAAATTCAATTTATTCCTTCCTCCAAAATCCCCCAAAATTCAATTTATTCCTTCCATTAAAATCCCCCAAAAATTCAATTTATTCCTTTCATTATAATCCCAAAAAATTCAAATTATTCCTTCCATTAAAATCCCCAAAAATTCAAATTATTCCTTCCATTAAAATCACCCAAAATTTAATTTATTTCTTCCTTTAAAATCCCCAAAAATTCAATTTATTCCTTCCTCTAAAATCCCCAAATAATTCAATTTATTCCTTCCATTAAAATCCCCAAAAATTGAATTTATTCCTTCCTTTAAAATCCCGAAAAAATTCAATTTATTCCTTCCATTAAAATCCCCCAAAAATTCAATTAATTCCTTCCACTAAAATCCCCAAATATTCAATTTATTCCTTTCATTATAATCCCAAAAAATTCAATTTATTCCTTCCATTAAAATCCCCAAAAATTCAATTTATTCCTTTCACTAAAATCCCCCAAAATTCAATTTATTCCTTCCATTAAAATCCCCAAAAATTCAATTTATTCCTTCCAATAAAATCCCCAAAAATTCAATTTAATCCTTCCATTAAAATCCCCCAAAAATTCAATTTATTCCTTCCTTTAAAATCCCCAAAAATTCAATTAATTCCTTCCATTAAAATCCCCCAAAAATTCAATTAATTCCTTCCACTAAAATCCCCCAAAAATTCAATTAATTCCTTCCACTAAAATCCCAAAAAATTCAAATTATTCCTTCCAATAAAATCCCCAAAAATTCAAATTATTCTTTCCATTAAAATCCCCAAAAATTCAATTTATTCCTTTCATTATAATCCCAAAAAATTCAAATTATTCCTTCCAATAAAATCCCCAAAAATTCAAATTATTCCTTCCATTAAAATCACCAAAAATTTAATTTATTTCTTCCTTTAAAATCCCCAAAAATTCAATTTATTCCTTCCACTAAAATCCCCAAAAATTCAATTTATTCCTTCCACTAAAATCTCAAAAAAATTCATTTATTCCATTCATTAAAATCACAAAAAAAATACAAATATAAAAAAAACCCAGATTTTTTCACCATCAAAATGTTAAAATTTCCTAAATTTCTGGAAAAATTGATGGGTGAAATCCCAAAATTTTAAATAATAACACATCCCTAAACTCAGGGAAAAAATACAGATTTTTTATCATAAAAATGTTAAAATTCCCTGAATTTCTGAAAAAAAATCTGAATAAAATTCTGAATAAAAAAATCTGAACAAAAATCTGAAAAAATCCTAATTTTCCATTAAAATGTTAAAATTCCCTGAATTTCTGGAAAAAACTCTGAATAAAATTCTGAAGAAAAAAAATTTGAAGAAATTGTGAAAAAATCCTGATTTTCCAGCAAAATGTTAAAATCTACTAAAATTCTGAAAAAAAATCTGAATAAAATATCTGAAAAAAATCTGAAAAAAATTCTGAAAAAAATTCCAATTTTCCACCAAAATGTTAAAATTCCCTAAAATTCTGAAAAAATTCTGATAAAAAATCTGAATAAAAAAAATCTGAAAAAAATTTCCGATTTTCCTTTAAAATGTTAAAATTCCATAAAATCCTGAAAAAAATTCTGTAAAAAAATCCCAATTTTCCACATTTTCTGGGATTTTGATTCCAGCAAATCTCAGGCCTGAGATGGTGTTAAATTCATTAAAATGAATTAAAATTAAAATAAAATGAATTTAAATTAATATGAATTAAAATTTAAATAAAAATGAATTAAATTAAAATGATTGAACTTTAATTGAAATAAATTTAAATTAAATTGAAATGAAGGAAATTTAAAATTAAAATGGCTTAAAGTTATATTAAAATGAATTAAAATTAAAATAAAAATTAATTAAAATTAAATTAATTAAAATTTAAATAAAAATGAATTAAAATAAAAATTAAAATGATTTAATATTAAATTATAATTAAAATTTCAAAAAATGTATTAAAATTAAATTAAAATTAATTAAAATTTAGATTAAAATGAATTAAAATTAAAGTTATTTAAATTCAATTAAAATAAATTTAAATTACATTCAAATGAATTTAAATTAAAATTAATTAAAATTAAAATGAACTAAAGTTAAATTAACATGAATTTAAATGAAAATTTATTTTAATAAAAATTAAAATAAAAATGAATTAACACTAAAATGACTAAACTAAAACGAATTTAAATAAAAACTATTTTAAATTAAAATTATTTTAAATTAAATTATAAAGAATTAAAAATGAAATGAATTGAAATTGAATTAAAATGAATTTAAATTAAATTATAATGACTTCAAATTAAAATGAATTTAAATTAAAGCAAATTACAATTAAAATTAAAGTGAATTAAAATTAAATTATAATGAATTAAAATTAAAATGAATTGAAATTAAAATGGATTTAAATTGAATTATGATGACTTCAAGTTAAAAGGAATTTAAATTAATGTGAATTAAAATTAAAATTAAAACAAATTAAAATTATAACAAATTATAATTAAAATTAAAATGAGTTAAAATTAAAATGAATTAAAATGAATTTAAAGTGATTAAAATGAATGTATATTAAATTGTAATGACTTACAATTAAAATAAATTTAAATTAAAGGGAATTTAAGTTAAAATTAAAGGGAGTTAAAATTAAAGTGAATTACAATTAAAGCAAATTAAATTTAAAACGAAATAAAATTAAAGCAAATTAAAATTAAAGTTAATTAAAATTAAAATGAAAAGCATTTAAATTGAATTATAATGATTAAAATTAAAATGAATTTAAATTGAATTATGACTTCAAATTAAAATGAATTTAAATTAATGCTAATTAAAACTAATGCGAATTAAAATTAAAGCGAATTAAAATTAAAGTGAATTAAAATTAAATTACAATGAATTAAAATTAAAATGAAAATGCATTTAAACTGAATTATAATGAATTAAAATTAAAATGAATTTAAATTAATGCTAATTAAAATTAATGCTTATTAAAATTAAAGCGAATTAAAATTAAACTACAATGAATTAAAATTAAAATGAAAATGCATTTAAATTGAATTATAATGAATTAAAATTAAAATGAATTTAAATTGAATTATGACTTCAAATTAAAATGAATTTAAATTAATGCAAATTAAAATTAAAGCGAATTAAAATTAAAGTGAATTAAAATTAAAGTGAATTAAAATTGAATTATAATGAATTAAAATTAAAGTGAATTTAAAATAAAGCGAATTAAAATTAAAGCGAATTAAAATTAAAGCAAATTAAAATTAAATTATAATTAATTAAAATTAAAATGAAAATGCATTTAAATTGAATTATGATTAAAATTAAATTGAATTTAAATTGAATTAGGACTTCAAATTAAAATGAATTTAAATTAATGCTTATTAAAATTAAAGCGAATTAAAATTAAAGTGAATTAAAATTAAAGCGAATTAAAATTAAATTATAATGAATTAAAATTAAAATGAAAATGCATTTAAATTGAATTATAATGAATTAAAATTAAAATGAATTTAAATTGAATTATGGTGACTTCAAATTAAAATGAATTTAAATTAATGCTAATTAAAATCAAAGCGAATTAAAATCAAAGCGAATTAAAATTAAATTATAATGAATTAAAATTAAAATGCATTTAAATTGCATTATAATGAATTAAAATTAAAATGAATTTCAATTGAATTATGATGACTTCAAATTAAAATTAATTTAAATTAATGCTAATTAAAATTAAAGTGAATTAAAATTAAAGTGAATTAAAATTAAATTATAATGAATTAAAATTAAAATAAATTTAAATTGAATTATGACTTCAAATTAAAATTAATTTAAATTAATGCTAATTAAAATTAAAGCAAATTAAAATTAAATTACAATGAATTAAAATTAAAATGAAAATGCATTTAAATTGAATTATAATGAATTAGAATTAAAATGAATTTAAATTGAATTACGACTTCAAATTAAAATGAATTTAAATTAATGCTAATTAAAATTAAAGCGAATTAAAATTAAATTAAAATGAATTAAAATTAAAATGAATTTAAATGAATTTAAATTGAAATATAATGACTTCATATCGAAAGGAATTTATATGAATGTGAATTAAATTTGAAATTAAAGCAAATTAAATTTAAATTTAAATTTAAATTTAAATTTAAAATTAAACGAATGTTAGGAATTCCGTGTTTGGCTGCAATTTGCATATCATTTGCATATTTCCCTCCTCAGGTACTGCCCGGGGGGGCCGGACTCGGATTTCGAATATTCCGCCCAGTCCTACACCGGCTACGAGGTAAAAAATCCCCATTTTCTGCTTTTTTACCCAAATTCCCATTTTTCTCTCCACCCAAATTCACGTTTTTTTAAGGAAAAAAATTGAATTTAATTTTAATTTTTTTAAATGACATGAATCCCCTTTGAAATGCTCAAAAATTCAATAAATTCCTTTTGATATTCAATGATAAATTGAATTTTTTTTCGATTTTCTCCCCGTTTTTGTTGTTGGTTTTAAGCAAAAAAATTCAAATTTGAAAGAATTTTTTTTCTGTTTTAACTCAATTCTTGAAATCTTGAAAGAAAATGGGGAAAAAATTAAAAAATCCCAAATAAATTTTAAAAAAATGCTCAAAAATCTCCATTAAAAGTAAAATTAATGGGTTTCCCTTGATGGAAAAAATGAGATTTTTAATTTTTAATGGTGATAATTCAATAAATAAATAATACTTTTTGAATTCTAATAAGTCAATAAATAAACAATAATTTAAAAATTATAATAATTCAATATTTAAGTAATAATTCTTACTTATAAAAATTCAATAAATAAATAGTAATTTTAAAATTATCACAATTAATGTTTTTAACTATAAAAATTCAATAAATAAATAATTTTTAAATTATTATAATTCAATAATTAAAATTTTTATTTATAATAATTCAATAAATAAACAATAATTTTTAATTTATAATAATTCAATAAATAGTAAATTTTAATTGAAAAATTTCAAGAAATAAAAATTTTTAATTATAACAATTCAAAAAATAAATATTAATTTTAAAATTATAGTAATTCAATAAATAAATAATTGTAATGGTAATAATCCAATAAATAATGATTGTTAATCATAATAATTGAATAAATAAATAATAATTTTAATTTTAATGAATCAATAAATAATAATTTAAAAAATCTACTAATTCAATAAACAATTCATATTTTTATTTATAATAATTGAATAAATAATTTTTTATAATAAATTAATAATAAGTAATATTAAAGTATAATAATCCAATAAATAAATAATAATTTTAAATTATAATAATTCAATAATTTAGTAATTAGTTTTAGTTCTAATAGTTCAATAAATATATAATATTTTTAATTATAATAATCCAATAAATAAAGAATATTTTTTAATTATAATAATTCAATAAATAGTAATTTTAATTACAATAGTTCGCTAAATAATTAATAATGTTTAATTATAACAATTCAATAAATAGATAATAATTTTTAAATTGTAATAATTTAACAAATAAATAATAATTATTAATGATAACAATTCAATAAATTATTAATATTTAATGATAATAATTCAATAAATAAATAATAATTTTTAATGATAATAATCCAATAAATAAATAATTATTATTAATTCTAATAATTCAGTACATAAATAATAGTTTTAAAATTCTAATAATTCAATAAGTAATTAATAATTTTTAATTATAATAATTGGATAAATAAATGATAAAGTTTTTAATTTAATTTAATTTTTTTAATTTTTAAAAGAGTTTGAGGAGCCAAATTCCTGTTCAAAATTTCAATTTTTAAAGCACAGGTTTGGAAGTTTTTAAATATTAAACAAAAAAATCGATTTATTTTGTGTGTTTGAAATTCTCAGCGTAATAAAAATCGGATTTCGTTATTTTTGACTAGAAAAAATGATGATAAATTGAATTTTTGGGTATTTTTAAAATTTTTATTTTGTGGGTTTAAAATTCTCAATATGTTTAAAGTCAGATTTTGGTATTATTAAGTGGGGAAAAATCGATAATAAATTGAATTTTTGGTTTATTTTTTTTGCAATTTTTATATTTTGGGCTTTGGTTCTATCAGGATTTGAAATTCTCAGCGTGATAAAAATCAGATTTTCTTATTTTTAATGGTAAAAATCGATAATAAATTGAATTTTTGGTTTATTTTTTAATATTTTTCTTTTGTGAGTTTGGGTCCATCAGGATTTGGTATTCTCAGTGTATTAAAAATTTCAATTTTGTTATTTTTAAGTGGGGAAAAACGATAATAAATTGAATTTTTGGTTTTTTTTTTTATAGTTTTGATACTTTGGGCTTTGGTTCTATCAGGATTTGAAATTCTCAGCGCGTTAAAAATCAGATTTTCTTATTTTTAACGGTAAAAATGGATAATAAATTGAATTTTTGGTTTATTTTTTAATATTTTTCTTTTGTGAGTTTGGGTCCATCAGGATTTGATATTTTCAGTGTATTAAAAATTTACATTTTGTTATTTTTAAGTGGGGAAAACGATAATAAATTGAATTTTTGGTTTATTTTTTTTTTAATTTTTATATTTTGGGTTTTGGGTCTATCAGGATTTGAAATTCTCAGCGTGTTAAAAATCAGATTTTGTTATTTTTAACCATAAAAATCGATAATAAATTGAATTTTTGGTTTATTTTTTTTACACTTTTGATACTTTGGGCTTTTGGTCCATCAGGATTTGAAATTCTCAGCATGATAAAAATCGAATTTTCTTATTTTTAAGTGGGGAAAAATGGGTAATAAATTGAATTTTTGTTTTTTTGTTTTTTTTTTAATTTTTTTATTTTGGGTTTTGGTTCTATCAGGATTTGAAATTCTAAGCGTGATAAAAATCAGATTTTCTTATTTTTAACAGTAAAACTGGGTAATAAATTGAATTTTTGGTTTTTTTTTTTTTACACTTTTTATTTTTTTTACACTTTTGATACTTTGAGCTTTGGTTCTATCAGGGTTTGGTATTCTCAGTGTGATAAAAATCGAATTTTGTTATTTTTAAGTGGGGAAAAATCGATAATAAATTGAATTTTTGGTTTATTTTTTTTACACTTTTGCTACTTTGGGCTTTGGTTCTATCAGGATTTGAAATTCTCAGCGTGATAAAAATCAGATTTTGTTATTTTTAACGGTAAAACTGGGTAATAAATTGAATTTTTGTCTTTTTTTTTTAATTTTTATATTTTGGGCTTTGGTTCTATCAGGATTTGAAATTCTCAGCGTGATAAAAATCGAATTTTGTTATTTTTAACGGTAAAAATGGGTAATAAATTGAATTTTTGGTTTATTTTTTTTTACACTTTTGATACTTTGTGCTTTGGTTCTATCAGGATTTGAAATTCTCAGCGTGCTAAAAATCAGATTTTCTTATTTTTAAGTGGGGAAAAATGGATAATAAATTGAATTTTTGTTTTTTTTTTTTTAATTTTTATATTTTGGGTTTTGGTTCTATCAGGATTTGAAATTCTCAGTGTATTAAAAATTTAAATTTTGTTATTTTTATGTGGGAAAAATCAATAATAAATTGAATTTTTGTTTATTTTTTTTTACACTTTTGATACTTTGTGCTTTGCTTCTATCAGGATTTGAAATTCTCAGCGTGTTAAAAATCGAATTTTGTTATTTTTAACGGTAAAACTGGATAATAAATTGAATTTTTGGTGTTTTTAGCCCACGTCCATGAGGGCGATCCGCGCTCGCTACGATCCCTTCCTGCAGACCCGGCAGCGCCTGGAGCAGGTACCTGCATTCGCTTCTTGGGAATGCCAAAAATCCCAAAAAATCAAATTATTCCCATTATTCCAATTATTCCCTGCGCTCCTGAGCCGCAAAAAATCCAATTTTTCCATCACCCGATTTCCAACTTTCCCTTCAAATCGGAATTTTCCACGTTCACCGCGGAATTCTGATTTTTATCGGGGGAAAAATGAATTTATTTGGGGTTTTTTTCTGAGTTTAGTTGGATTTTTTAAAAAAAAAAATTCGGATTTTTTTGTCTTTTTGAGGAGTTTTTTTTCTACGTAAATTAAATTAAATTCGGATTTTTTTTTGAGTCTTTTCTACAAAAATTAAATTGAATTCAAATTTTTTTTGTCTTTTGGAGGAGTTTTTTTTCTACGTAAATTAAATGAAATTCGGATTTTTTTTTTGAGTCTTTTCTACAAAAATTAAATTGAATTCAAATTTTTTTTGTCTTTTGGAGGAGTTTTTTTCCTACGCAAATTAAATTAAATTCGGATTTTTTTTTTGAGTCTTTTCCACAAAAATTAAATTGAATTCAGATTTTTTTTGTCTTTTTGAGGAGTTTTTTTCTACGTAAATTAAATTAAATTCGGATTTTTTTTTGAGTCTTTTCTACAAAAATTAAATCAAATTCGGATTTTTTTTTTGAGTCTTTTCTACAAAAATTAAATTAAATTCAGATTTTTTTTTGAGTCTTTTCTACAAAAATTAAATTGAATTCAGATTTTTTTTTGTCTTTTTGAGGAGTTTTTTTCCTACGCAAATTAAATTAAATTCGGATTTTTTTTTTGAGTCTTTTTACAAAAATTAAATTGAATTCAATTTTTTTTTGTCTTTTTGAGGAGTTTTCCTACGCAAATTAAATTAAATTCAGATTTTTTTTTGAGTCTTTTCTACAAAAATTAAATTAAATTCAGATTTTTTTTGTCTTTTTGAGGAGTTTTTTTCCTACGCAAATTAAATTAAATTCAGATTTTTTTTTTGAGTCTTTTCTACAAAAATTAAATTGAATTCAGATTCTTTTTTTGAGTCTTTTCTACAAAAATTAAATTAAATTCAGATTTTTTTTTGAGTCTTTCTACAAAAATTAAATTGAATTCAGATTTTTTTTTGTCTTTTTGAGGAGTTTTTTTTCTACGTAAATTAAATTAAATTCGGATTTTTTTTTTTGAGTCTTTCTACAAAAATTAAATTGAATTCAAATTTTTTTTGTCTTTTTGAGGAGTTTTTTCCTACACAAATTAAATTCAAAATTTTTTTGAGTTTTTTTCTACATGAATTAAAGGAAATTCAATTTATTTTTGTCTTTTTGAGGAATTGTTTCTATGTAGATTAAAAGAAATTAAAATAATATTAAAATTTTTTTTTTTGCCTTTTTGAGGCGTTTTTTCCTACACAAATTAAATTAAAATCAAATTTTTTTTGAGTTTATTTGGGGTTTTTTCTACATGAATTAAAGGAAATTCAATTTATTTTTGTCTTTTTTGAGGAATTTTTTCTATGTAGATTAAAAGAAATTAAAATAATATTAAAATAATGTTTTTTATCTTTTTGAGAACTTTTTTTCTACACGGATTAAAAGAAATTCAATTTTTTTTGAGGTTTTTTTTGAGGAGTTTTTTCTAAATGAATTAAAGGAAATTCAATTTTTTTTTATCGTTTTGAGGAGTTTTTTTCTACATAGATTAAAAGAAATTAAAATAATTTTTATTTTTGCCTTTTTAACTTGATTTGGAATAATTCTGATTTTTTGGGAAATCTTTCCACTCTTACGTAAAAAAAAAAATAAAGTTTTTTTTAACAAAATTATGACCAAAAAAAAATTTCCTCCCTGAAAAGCCACGGAAAAAAATCAAAAATCACCTAAAAAAAATTTAAAATGATGTTGAAATATTTGGGAATAACCCCAAAATGCTCCTAAAAAAAATTAAAAATAATGGGGAAATTTTGAGAATAACCCCAAAAAGCACCTAAAAAAAATTAAAATAATGGGAAATTTTTTGGGAATAACCCAAAAAAGCACCTAAAAAAATTTTAAATAATGGGGAAATTTTGGGAATAACCCTAAAAAAAATTAAAAATCGTGGAATTTTTGGGAATAATCCCAAAATGCACCTAAATAATTAAAAATAATGGGGAATTTTGGGAATAACCCTAAAAAAAATTGAAAATAATGGTGAATTTTTGGAGTAACCCCAAAACCCACCTAAAAAAGTTAAAAATAATGGGGAATTTTTTGGGAATAACCCTAAAAAAAAATTGAAAATAATGGTGAACTTTTGGGAATAACCCCAAAAAGCACCTAAAAAAAAGTAAAATAATTGGGAAATTTTGGGAATAACCCCAAAATTCACCTAAAAAACTTAAAAATAATGGGGAAATCTTGTGGCTGACCCCAAAAATCAGCCAAAAAAATGAAAAATAATGGGGAAATTTTGGGAATAACTCCAAAATTCACCTAAATAATTAAAAATAATGGGGAAATTTTGTGGCTGACCCCAAAAATCACCTAAAAAAATTAAAATAATGTTGAAATTTTTGGGAATAACCCCAAAAATCACCCAAAAAAATTCAAAATAATGGGGAAATTTTGGGAATAACTCCAAAACGGACTTAAAAAAAATTAATGTTGAAATTTTTGGTAATAACCCCAAAATCACCCAAAAAATTTAAAAATAATGGGGAATTTTTGGGAATAACCCTAAAAATAATTAAAAAATATGGGGAATTTTTGGGAATAACCCCAAAACCCACCTAAAAAAATTAAAAATAATGGGGAATTTTGGGAATAACCCTAAAAAAAATTAAAATAATGTTGAAATTTTTGGGAATAACCCCAAAACACACCTAAATAATTAAAAATAATGGGGAAATTTTGCAAACACACCTAAAAAAAATTAAAATAATGGGGAAATTTTGGGAATAACCCCAAAAATCACCCAAAAAAATGAAAAGTAATGGGGAAATTTTGGGAATAACCCCAAAATTCACCTAAAAACCTTAAGAATAATGGGGAAATTTTGGGAATAACCCCAAGAATCACCCCAAAA